CTCGAGTAAATCAGTTTTCTCGAAAGATTTTTTTATTGCATCGTCTTCGAAGCACAATCAAGAAAATAGTTTGTTTCATAATATTCTATGTTAGAAAAATTACACAAATACACTTTCTTTACATTTTATTTTAGTAAGCCGGCTTTATTTAAGCGAATAAATTATTAATTTTAAATCCGCTTTATTATATTTCCGCTGCATTCCAATTAATATTCAAAGATATTTCGATGAATTTAGTGGATGAAGTATCCAAGAAATTCTTTCAATATAGCGCAGATCGACTAAAGAAAAAATCGAATTACAAGAAACACGGTGCCGAACAAATATAATATGTATAGTAAAAAGTACTGTTTATTGATGTTGTTAAAAATTAAATACGGATTCATATTTATAACAAATTGATTAAAAACTCATAATTTTCGCACATTTTTACCTTTTGTTTATTTATATTATAGATATCATTTCAGATAGTTAGATTTTTAAATCCTATAAAACTTGGGTTGAAAAAATTGCAATCTCAAACCACCAGCGAGCTGAAATCTTGAATGGAAAAATTAATAATTCTCGAAACGCCAACGATTCGAAAAATAAAAATTATAGAAACTCCAACGATCCGAAAAATAAAAATTCAAGAATCTCCAACGACTAGAATAAAAATTCTCGAATCGCCAACGATTCAAAAAATAAAAATTATAGAGTCTCCAAAGATTAGAAAAATTAAATATTCTCGATTCGCCAGCGATTCGAAGAAAAAAATTTCTAGAATCGCCAACGATTCGAAAAACTAGCAATACTCGATTCGCTAACGATAGGTGACTCTCCTAAGAACTCGAAATCGCCGATCTATCGTCTCGATAGTTCTATCAGAGAAAACGAGCTCGTCTCGAATTCGAGGCGAATTCGTTGTGTTTATTGGGTAGTTTCTACTCAATTCCCAGCCACACAAAACATATACACGCATTCAAAACTGCTTTATCGCACCGCCGGGCATGCAAAGTTTCACACCCTTGGCGTTGGTTAGGTGGCGTAAGGGAATCATGGTTACTTTCACATCCGGTAGACACTCACTCATACAATCGCAGTCACCACAAGGAAAAGCTGTCGTTACAAGTTTTTAAACTTTACATTTTATATTATTAATTTGATTTGATACGATACCAGGGGGCCAATTCCTGTTCTGTGAAAACGTGAAGTGAAAACATTTTTCATCACTTCACATAAAATTACGATTTTGTTTTCAAATGTAAATAAATTAATTTGTCAAAAATGTTTCACTGTGAAAAAGAAGAGTTGGGCGCTTTTCTAGATGTTAACTGAATAGCATTTAATAATCGAGAATCGCTTAAAATGATAGTATCGAACCGCAGAACCAGAATTGGCTCCCAGGGTTCTGGCACTCGATTCCAAAAAAATTGTTTGAAAACTATCGAGGAAAAAGTATCGGTAATGATGTCAAAATAAAGATAATTAATACATCTTCAAGTTTATATATGAAATGTGTATGCTTGTTTATATATTTAACCCAAAAAATTAAAAAAACAAATAAAATGTTATAATTTTTTTATAAAAAACCTTTTTTAGAAAAAAGTGCGTAATCAATGCTAAAGAAATTTATCGTCGTTGTTTTGCAAAATTACCCATCGACTAGTTGCAAAACCGCCTAAATCGCCGTTGTGGCAAAAATGAGATTTGGTAACCCTGAACTACAGGCATCGAAAAAAAATCGTTAAATCGTTATTAAAACAACAGATTTGTCAAATAACACCTAGAGAAAATACCGCCTATCAAGGCAATGCCTTCAAAGTATAAACCGTTTTTCCGCTCTCCTGTAAAATTTGAGTGCCGTAAGATAGGCGGCTTTGCAAACACACGACGATATGTTATTTCGAAAGTGCAAGGTCTTACCATTCATTTGATATGCATATTTTATAATGATCTGCTTTTGAGGTTTAGGAATTCAGTAATAAAAAAATTAAAAGCATTTACAAGCAAGTAGCAAGTGTGAGGTAATATCATCATTTCTTTTGCCCAGAACTTTTTTCTGCATAGGCGGCCTTCGGCCGCACTTAGGGATTCTAACCCCTACAAAGTAGAATTCTCCTTCTGTGTTGCCGAACAAGGGGGCTGAAGACCTTTTGCACAGAACACCTTTCTGCGTAGGCGGCCTTCGGCCGCACTAAGGGATTATAACCCTCAATAAGTAGAATTCTCCTTCTGTGTTGCCGAAGAAGGTGGGCTGAACACTTCTTGCGGAGAACACGTTTCTGCGTAGGCGGCCTTCGTTTGCACTTGGGGATTATAACCCTTGCTAAGTAGAATTCTCCTTTCCATGTTGCCGAAGAAGGGGGGCTGCACACCTTTTGCAGAGAACACCCTTCTGCTTAGGCGGCCATCGGCCGCACTTAAGGATTACAACCCTCACTAAGTACAATTCTTCTTTCCGTGTTGAAAAAGAAGGGGGGCTGAACATCTTTTACAGAGAACACCTTTCTGCGTAGGCGGCCTTCGTCCGCACTTGGGGATTATAACCCTTACCGTATAGAATTCTTCTTTCTGTGTTACCGAAGAAGGGGCTGATATTTGCGCAGAACTTCTTTATACCATCACTAAACTCTTAAAACTCAAAAGCAAGTCATGATATAATATGGGCAGCTTTCTCAAGAAACCTGTAACTTTAAAGCTCACTTTATATTTAAAGGTTGCATTAAAATTTATGATTGTTTCTAAAGTAAAGCATTTTATTATCGGTTTTAAATTGGTTTACAGCAAAGAAACATACATACGTCAAAAACCGATAATAAATATGCTTAACTTTAGGCAAAGCTTTATTTTTAATCCAACCTTTAAATATAAAGTTAGCTTTAAAGCTAGTGGTTACTTCAGAAAACGGTCCTATGTATATGGTAGGAACTTGAGCTTTCTAAATAATACAAATTTTCTTAGCATTGATTATGCAGTTTTTCCAAAAAAGGATATTTTATGAAAAAATTATACATTTTTTTTTTGTTTTATAATATTTTTGGCTTAGATTTAAAAACAAGCATACACACTTTATATACAAGCTTTAAGATAAATGAATTGTCGTTATTTATTTTAAAATCCTTATCGTAGCATCGGTTACGTAGTTTAGAAAATATTAATATTTTAAAATATTAAAATTTTTTTAACCTCATATCTTTTGTACTTTTCAATTGCGCCAAATAATATTTATATAGTTGAAATCAGCGTAAAAAGTACTATCGATCTGCATTTATAGTTTTTGCATTGCTGAACGCTTGGTTATCTTGATATATGCCAACATGAACCAACTAACAAGATCACGCAATCGAAAAATAATGAAAAAAGTAAATTTCTGAGCGTTTTTGACATCTGCCTAAGAATGAAAACAAGCAAAGAAAACGAAAAAGGCGCGGTGATTGAGTGCCATTAAATTGGTATTTATTATAAAATGTACAAAGTGAAACTTGATGACAATTAGCAAAAAAAGTTCATAAAATATGGTTTTCATGATTGAAAGTGTTTTACAATCGCATATCATCACCACGGATCGATTCTTCAAAGCCAGCGTTCTGGCCACAAACGTGCACCCACTTTTCAGGAAAATTTAGGCCTTTGCCAGACCAAAGAAACGCACAAACTTGTTCCAATCACAAAGCACTTCATTTTATATCATCAATTTGTAATAAAACAAAATTAAAATAAAAATCGCCATTCCGAAGCGATAGAAGACGATGTAAAAAGGAAAAACATAAAAAACGCTACGATAACTTTTTTCTGAAATTCGATTACAAATGCAACGATGGCGGATTGCGTGATCAGTAGTCGTTGGGGGTACTGTTTATGAATTTGTACAACGTTTACCACACAGAAAGGGAATTCTAGTTACTTCATCCTCCTCCCCTCCGCACCCATCCCTAAATTGTTGTACAAATAGGTCCCTTTTCAGACACGTCAAGTCTTGCTTTCAAGTCTGTTCGGTCGTTGGTGAAGGAGGTGGGAAGAGAGGGGAAGAGTACAGATACCTCCGTACCGTCAATTCGTTTCAAGTTTTCTTGTTCTCTTTTGATCTTTTCGTTGCTTCCGGTTTAAAGAACCAAGTAGTTGAATTCAATAAAACTTGATGCGTGTGAAAGCAAAGAGAAAACACAAAAGAGAATGCGATAAAAATTGCTTTCAAGACTTGACGTGTCTGAAAGGGGACTAGCTAAACATTTCCCGTCTTTGGTTCATGATATGCCAAATAACGATATGGTATCGAAACATGATTCAATAATACAAGGTTAGATAATTATTGACAGCTGCGGTTTGACACTCCCTTACAAAAGGTTGCATTTACGAAGGACAGAGAAAGGGCAAGAATGCAATCCCTTGTTTCGAAAATGGTAGTAGAAAAGTACGCAAAGTAGGCAATTAGTAGTGAAATTCCTTTTGTAAATACTAATGTATTTGCAGGAAATCTGGCATTTTAAACGAAATGTTGAACGTAATATTGATATATCTACGTGAATTACGTAATTTACAAAAGGAATTTCACTACTAATTGTCTACCTCGCGTACTTTTCTACTACCATTTTCAAAACAAGGGATTGCATTCTTGCCCTTTCTCTGTCCTTCGTAAATGCAACCTTTTGTAAGGGAGTGTCAAACCGCAGCTGTCAAGTTCTGAACACATTGAAAACGACGAGCTACCGACCACAGCTTCCAATTTGTCATCTTTATTATCTAAGCGCTTTGTCGATGGCGACATGATTTCTTTAAACGCGGCAGCGACATCATGAATTTGTATGAGTTTGACATAAAAGAAGAGGAAGAACCTTATCTGTCGCCAGAAAAATAGAAATAGATCTAATCTGGCCACAACCACAGCCGTCGTGTAGCCCGGTCGTCGCCAAAATAATTATCTACATAAGAGTACGTGTTAAAATAATTTGACAGCTGTGGTTTGTAGCTCGTCGTTTTCATTGTGTTCGGGCTATCAATAATTATCTAACCTTGTATTATTGAATCATGATTGAATCATGGTATCGAAATTCGTGTGCCTAGTTTTGACATCGGTATTTGATTTTAATCGATAAGTATGTTGTACCAATTGCGCTTCTAAAATAATATGATTTGTAGCCATCAATTACTTTAATGGCAACAAACGCGAATATCGACGAAAATTTTGAAACCCCCGATGTAAGTTTCAGGATGTCATTCATTGTGAAAGGTATTGAATACTTTATATATTGAATTCTAGTTTGACGAAGATGAACTGGGCGAAGAGCAGTTTGTTTCTACAACCGCTGGGAGAAAAAGATTGTTTAGCAAGGAGTTAAGATGTATGATGTATGGCTTCGGTGATGATAAGAATCCTTATACAGAAAGTGTAGACTTGTTAGAAGACTTGGTAATTGAATTCATAACCGAAATGACACACAAAGCAATGGAAATCGGACGTACCGGCCGTGTACAAGTCGAAGATATCATATTTTTGGTTCGAAAGGACCTTAGAAAATATGCCCGTGTTAAAGATTTGTTGACGATGAATGAAGAATTGAAAAAAGCGAGAAAGGCATTTGATGAAATTAAATATGTTGGTGAGTATTGCAAAAATAACAAATATAATTCTCTAAATCATATCTTTTCAGGCAATGAGGCTAAGATTAAATGACAAAAGTTTAAATAAACAAAGCATTTTCTTAATTATAGTAGTTGCAACTTTATTTTTTACGAATGGAAACAAAATATATTGACAATGACTTGTTTAATCGAAATAGTCCTCTATATCGATATTTGGGTTAAGTATATCATCTCCGTAGGGCGTAAGGTCGATGCCATTCAATATTAAATTCTCACAGGTTTCGGCAAGTTCTGAATTTCCAATCAATATTGCTCCACGTAAACGTCCATTTTGTAATACAAATTTAGTATACTCTTCTTGTGGCGTACTGCGTAGCAAAATTTCGTAATCATTCCCCAAGCCTTGACCATTATATAGACCAAGGAGTATCACAGGATAACCAAAAAGGTGTGTTACATGCCCAAAGAGCTCAAAGCAAAAATCTTGATAGATTACTTCATTTCTTAGTTTCGCTCCCATACTACGGGCTGCCATACACCCCATTTGACGCGCTTGTGTCCACAACCTCATCTGAAACCAGTGCTCGCCATGTTCCCACACGCAGGTGCAAACATCGCCCGCTGCATAAATTCCTTCTACATTAGTTTCCATCATATCATTTACAGCAATTCCTCCGTCAGAGGCCAGACACAAAGGTATAGAACAAGAGTAATTATGTCGGGGTTCAACACCTGTTGCAGATACGAGGAAATCACATTTAATTTGTTCTCCATTAGACAACGTTACAAAAAGCATGCTGTTTTCTTCTCTTATCTGCTTAATATGTGCCTTGTAATGCATGATCGGGGACTTGAGTTCAGTAACTGTATTTCCTTTGAGGGTAAAATTTCTATGCCAATCAGGTCCCAAGGCTGCACCATGCTTAGTAACATTTTTATGTTGACCTTCGGATAATATTTCAGCATATCTCAATCGTTTAACAATTGAACTGGCAACCGGTTTATGTTCGCATGTAGTTTTACTATGCTGTATAGATTCTTGGAAAAAATGTGCTGCACCAGCATCTACAAATGTTGATGCTATATGAGCGTCTTTGATAACCCAATGTAATTCAACACCATGCAATTCGTATGCAAGCTCACTCGCAATGCCACCATTGCCTAGCAACACAACACTTTTCGCATTTCCTAAACGTTGCTGCAATATCAAAACTGAATCAGTGTCGCGAATTCCAATGACTAGAGGTGTGTCATTATGTATTAGATGAGGTACAGCCCCCGTGCAAAGGCAAATGGACTTATAATATATTTTACAACCGTTTTCAGTTTCAACGTGACGCTTTGACGCTTCTATATGCTTTAGTTGGTCAACAATAGTAATAATTGCTGGAGCAATCGTACTGGAATCTTCCAAAGAACGTTCCTTTACATCAAATTTATAAACAAACCGTGCAACAGGTTCTAAATTAGCTATGGTTTTTATAACACTTGATTCTGTTAATAAAATTATGCTCTCTTCCGGATGATAAACTGCTAAAGTTTCTGCACAAGTTACACCGGCTATACCACCACCCACGACTAGGAATGTCACCCTATGATCTTCGAGTTTTGTATTGTCATTTATACAAGACGCCATTACTTTGTTTCTTATTCGTGTTATTTTACTTTTTAGAACTTGAACTGATAACTCGATTAAAGTTTATTGCGCTTTAGTTACGGAATGGCCGTAATATTCGTCAAGATCAAACTTTCGAAAAGGGACATCGAAAGATATAAGCCCGTAATCATAGGCACGCTCTACAGCCACTAGGAGCTCAAAATGTTTTCTTTGGCAAAGTCCAGTTTTGGAATAACTTAGAATTTTACCAGTATGCGGCGATATAAACTGACGAAGTAATTCAATATTACGGTGATCTAAGGCTAAATATTCGTCACGACAAATAGGACACGGGTTACCGGTAGAAATTACGCCTTTTCGTACGCAGGTCTTTCGTGTTTTACGAGGTGGTATTGCTCCTTTATGGTTTCGTCTACATGTAAGCAAATTGTGAAATATATGAAAACGGAAGTTTTTCATGATTACCTGTATTGTTCCCATACAAACTGGTCACCATAAGTTTCTTTATACGCAGAACTTTGAAGATATCGTATTGACGTCTCTACTGGTATAACCTGTGTTCGATCATTTTTCTGCTTCAATGCATCAGCAGCGAGGTTCCCAGATTCTAGTTCGTTATTCTTATCTGCTTTAACTTCGCATCTATGAACCACATAGAAATGAAATTTTATAACTCCTGCAGGACGAACACCTCGGCCAACAACAGGGAACGTTTTAGTTAGATTTTTGGCTAATCCTCTCAGAATAGTAATCATTTTATTCTAATATTCGCCCGAAAAAATTCATCCCTAACCAACAATTAAATAATGCTCACTTGTACTATAGAAATGACGTTTTGAAATCGATTATATCGAATATCAATTAGAACCAGTGTTGCCAAAACTTTTTGTGTCGACCGGCTATATTGGCAAAAAAACCGGCTAAAATGTTTCTACTAAAATTCACTTGGGCATACATCAAGAAAACCAACCGTTCAGCTATAGAAAAACTAAAAATTCAGATTGCTAGTACTTTTTACGATGACTTTAACTATATAAATATTATTTACCGCAATTGAAAAGTAAAGTAGATATATAAATTAAAATATTTTCTAAACTGCGTAACCGATTCAAAAGGTAATGATGTCAAAATAAAGACAATTAATTTATCTTCAAGCTGATCTATCAAATGTGTATGCTTTTTTAAATATTTCAGCCAAAAATATTATATAACAAAAAAAGTTAATATAATTTCATAAAATAACCTTTTTTTAGAAAGTCTATAATTAATGCTAAAAATACATATTATATTACGATTTGATTTCAGTGATAATAAAAAATATAAATGCATGTATGTGCAAATGCATATTGTAGTTAATTAAACGGGTTGGCTTTCCATTATGGCCGTTCGTTAAAGGGGCGGTGGGCGAAACGCAAGTGGGCGTGGCACCTCTAACCCACCTTTTTGGAGAGGGAATGAACCGCCATTGACAAAAATGCAACCCCCGACCACCTAGGTCCTTTACGGTTCCCTAGGGACCCCTTAGAAAAATTGCCGAAAATCACAATTTTCATTTGCGTTTTTCGCTTGAAATTTGGTAAATATTTATTTGCACAAGACATTTTTAGGTACACATTTTTATATACAAGACATTTATATTTTATTTATTTATTTATTACAGTCATTTGACCTATGTACATTCACGTATATACATTGGAATTATGTATTGCGATATATAATAAAAGTAAAGTTAAAATTAATGCTTAAAATAAGTTAACCTGTTTCACTTTTCCTTCTAAGCTATATAATAGTTTATGTATATTTAACTAAGATAGCATATTCTCGATGCTGTTGGAATGGACGTGATTCCAAGCAGCACCGTTATGGGCTGTTTTTGCCTACGCGTAAAAGCACATTTAGCGTATTTAGCTCTAAATGCTACTCTAAATGTACAATTATCCATACAAAATTCGTCACCTAAATGCAACTAAATGCAACTTCATTTTTGCATTAAGAATCTAAATGCTAAAAGCAACCCTGAGATCTTCCAAAATTTCCACGATTCGAACATGCTTTAATGAAAAAGTGGCAACATTGCTTTTTCGAGTATACAGCCGCTAGCTGCGTTTCAGTGATCGCCGATCGAGATTTCATGTATTATTTTACATTATTTGGGTAAAGAAAAGTTACGCAAATTCAACATCGATATGATGCTGATAAAAATCTGGATTAATTTGTGATCAACTCTGTTTGTTTTGTTTCCTAATTAAGTGTGGAAATTATAATTGACAGCACCGACAAATGAATATATACACAAAGAAATGTTCGGTTATGGTTAAAACAATTCAAGCTTTTGTATTGAATTTTCGGTTTAGAATTTATTTTTTGCTTTTCAGTAGGGGTTTTTGCACATTATCTTTTCCGTGAGAATTTACCGTAATATACGGATCTGAATAAGCGACTGCAACACGGCTGTTTGTCAAAAGCATACTATTTCGCACTCGCGTAAATGTACATTTGCTATATGCGATAGCATGAACGCTCTTCGAAAACTTATGTTCGAAAGTGCTAAATGTTGCATTTTAAATGCAGCAAAAACACCGCATAAATATATCACGTACGATATGCGGTCTAATGGGCTGTTTTTGCTTACGCGTAAAAGCACATTTAGCGCATTTAGCTCTAAATGCTACTCTAAATGTACATTTATCCATACAAAATTCGTCACCTAAATGCAACTAAATGCAACTCCATTTTTGCATTAAGAATCTAAATGCCAAAGCAACCTTGTTATCTTCCAAAATTTCCACGATTCGAACATGGTTTAAAGAGAAAAAGTGGTAACATTGCTTTTTCGAATATACGGTTGCTAGCTGCGTTTCAGTGATCACCGATTGAGATTTCTTTTATTTTACATTACATATTTGGATAAAGAAAAGTTAAGCAAATTCAACATCGATGTGATGCTGATAGAAATCTGGATCAATTTGTGATCAACTCTGTTTGGTTTGTTTCCTAATTAGGTGAGGAAATTTTAATTGACAGCACCGACAAATGAATATATACACAAACAAATGTTTGGTTATGGTTAAAATCATTCAAGTTTTTGTATTGAATTTTTGGTTTAAAATTAATTTTTTCCTTTTCAGTATGGTTTTTGCACATTTTCTTCTGCGTGAGAATTGATCGTAATATATACGGATCTAAATAAGAGACTGGAACACGGCTGTTTAACAAAAGCATACGATTTCGAACTCGCGTAAATGTACATTTGCTAAATGCTATAGCATGAACGCTCTTCGAAAACATATGTTCGAAAGTGCTAAATGTTGCATTTTAAATGCAGCAAAAACGCTGCATAATACCATGTTCTGACCGACAACGAAAACACCTTGAAAACGAGTTCTGGGATTGTGGGCTGAAGGCTGTTCACACCGACTGTTGGTGTTTTCGTTGACATTTCTTACATCCTTTGTTTACAGTTTTGCTACATAAATACAAAACCAAAATACTTTTCCTTCAATTTCTTTTAATTAACAACCTTTTACTTCCATGCTTATATAATTTTGGTCAGCCAATTAACAATAAATCAGAAATGGCGTATTAAAGATGATAAAATATGACTGCCACTTCGATAAATAATCGAAAAAAACTAGTGCAGACACCGATTGGAATGAGTGGAACGTGAGTTTTCAAGTGCTTTTCAGCGAAAAATAGTTTTCGTTTGACAAATTTTACATGGACGAAAACACAAGTTTTAGGTCGACAACCAGTTTTACCAACGAAAACATGTTTTCGATGTCGGTCAGAACATGGTATATGAGTGTAACTTCCAGAGCCACAAATGAGCGATTGGAAAGGACTAGTTTCCAAGCGGCCTCTTATAAACTTCTCTACCGGCAGGCGATCTGAATGAACGAAATGCAGAGTCGCGCTATTTGATCGGACGGAAAGGACTAGTTTCCATGCCGACGTTCTTTTTTCATACATTAGTTGCGTTCCAGATGCTTCACGATATTCACGAACTTCACAATTTGCAGGAACAGCTGTTTTCTCCATTAATAAACCTTATTGGAGGTGGTCACCTGGAACGACTTCCTGTAAAAACCTGCAAATCGTGAATCATCTGGAACGCAACTATTATGGGTGATCTAAATGCAGAGTCGCGATATTTGATCGTACGGAAAGGACTAGTTTCCATGCCGACCTTCTTATTTCATACATTATGGGTGATCTGAATGGACTAGATCCAGAGTCATCCAGCTAGTTCGGATGGAAAGGACTATGTTGCGAACACACCCGCCAGACTTCAAATGCAACACTGCAGTTATTTATCTTCTTTCATTTTCTTTCATTTCACTTGCATATGTATTTCCAAAATTGAATTTGTCATTTACTGTTTGTACGCCAGTCTTACCGGCACATGAATACAAAGTGTAAGAAATTATTTCTGCTAAACTAAACTTGTAAGATTTATATTATATATTATTTCAGTGAAATAAACGAACAACTTTTCAACGGTGACAACGTCAACGTTCGTTGAATATAAATTGGTGGTGTTCATTTCTTTTGTAAGTGCCAGCGGGAGCTTTGTGGCGTGCATAACAATTTTATTTCAACATTCGCTGTTTCTTTCTGACGCCGTTATTTCAAATTTAACGTTTTTCCGAAACAATGGAAACACGAAGTCAAACGAAAGCCGAAAAGGCATCATCAAGATTGTCGACGTCGCAGTCGACAGAATCTGATGAAATCGACATGGATGGAACTGTAGTTGCATCCACGGAACTTGAGAAGTCTTTACAAAAACTGGTTCTGGACTTGACCGAACGCATCAAGATCCTGAAATCAAGACCGATATCGACCTTGCAATCATCTACGTCAAGCAATTTTGAGTCTGCAATTGCAACGTCGACGTACAAAACAAATTCCTCAAGTGATAATTTGCCCTCACAAATCGCTCAAATGCCAAGGAGCACACCGTTCTCTACGTGTAATTCATTGAATTCTGGTGCAACTGCTAGCTACGCACAGCGACCGGCAGTCCCATTGCGATCGCCGCACTTAAATTTATTGCCGACGACTACTTGGAATTTACCATTCCTACCGTCTTTGCACATGTCCGCCACCACCACTACCACATACGCCCGACCGAACGTAATGCCTACTGCTGCCAGTACACAATTCCCGTTTAACCAAGGAACGAATATGGGGACTTCATACTCTACGGTTCCACAATTGAGTACTCCACGAAAGTTGTACGATTTGCCAG